CCCATGGGGGTTGGGCTGGGCTGCGGGAGGGGAGTTTGGCCCTGGGGCAGGCGCCCACGGGGGTTTGGCTGCTCCGGGGGAGAAACACGCCGACCCCGGAGGAGGCACGCACCAGCTTCCCTCGGGGGCAGAGGGGAGAGAATCCTGGGAGGAGGCGGGTGCAGGGGACTCTCTGCCCCCACTGCCCCTCTGTTCGCTCTCACTAGCCCCTTCTCCCCACTGCCCAGCCTCCTGTTCCCTCTCCTCACTCCCCAGTGCCCTGTTCCCTCTCCCCTCTCCCCTGTTCCCTCTCCCGTTCCCTCTCCCCACTCCCCAGCCCCCTGTTCCCTCTCCTCTCTCCCCGCTCCCCTGTTCTCTCTCCCCAGTCTCAGAAACCTGTCCCCACTGACACCCTGTTCCCTCTCCCCTCCTGTCACCCTGTTCCCTCTCCCCTGTCCCCAGCCACAGAAACCTGTCCTCACTGGCACCCTGTCTCCTGCCGAAACACCCACTAGCACCCTTCCCCAGTACTATGTCCCCTGCTCCCACAAACACAGTTGGGGCCACATTAGTAAAACTGGGGGGGAAGGGTGGAGGAGGGTTTTTTTGCATCTCACTTGTGTGGCCCCAACTGACTTTTCTGTGGGTCAGTGACCCCAGACTCAAAACAGGTTCCCTGCCCTTCTCAGAAATAAAGACAATGTAGAAACTTTTTGTGTTTGACATAGTATTTTATTTGAAAATGAAGCCTAGCCAACAAACCCCCAGTTGTGGCCAAGCTCCCATCTGGCCACAGCATCATAACACTCCTGCACTTCCCTTTCCCCCAGATCCTATATCTGAGCCTATCATACCCTGGAACCCCCTGCCCTGAGCCTCTCACATACCCCAACCCAAATTCCTGAACCCTCACATCCAGAAGTCTGTGGCTTGCTTAGTACCCTAACCCTACATCTGACCCCAACACTGCCCGGCCTGGAGCCCCCTCCCCGAGCCAGCGTTCCCTTATCCACCTCCACCTGCATCCAGATTACCTCCCAGAGCTTGCGCCTCTCACCCCTTCCCACACCCAAATCCCTCATTCCCACCCTGGAGCCTACACATCCTGTCTCAACCCAGCAAGGGTACAGCTAGACTGCAGGAGTTTTTCAGGATTCCGGAGATATCCCTGAAAAACTATTCTGCATCCCAGGGATGCATTTATTCTTCCACTTCTTTTAGTGGAAGGGCAATCATGATCTTTCGGTCACCCCTATATTCCTCTTTCCACAAGGAATAAGGGGGCTTCCAAAGGAAGGGGTTTTTCTGACATTTGGTCCAGATAGGCCAAATGTTGGAAAAACTTCTTCCTACAGAAGAATTGAGAAAAAAGCAGCAGTATAAGGGTTGGGGATAGCAAGTGATGGAGAGGAGGAGAATAGAGAGGACAGGGCTTCAAGGAAGGGGCGGGGTGGTAGATCTTGACTTGTTCAGTCATTTAAAAAGTGACCTTGGGTATAAAAAGGTTGGAGTCCACTGCTCTAGTTTATTTGTGTCCACTGCTGTAGTTTATTCGTGGCAGTTGGCCCAGACTGGTGAATTTGCGGATGTCATGTGATAATCATGCTCTGAGATATTCCAACAAGTTCTTGGAATGCATCAGAAACTTTTTTTTTTTTTTAATTTCAGAAGGTTGAGAAAGCTACTAAGGAGGAAGCTGTTCTAGATTCGATTTTAACAAATAGGGAGGAACTGGTTGAAAATTTGAAAGTGGAATGCAACTTAGATTAAAGTGATCATGAAATTATAGAGTTCATGAGTCTAAGGAATGGTAGAAGGGAGAGCAGCAAAATAAAGACAGTGGATTTCAGGAAGGCAGATTTTAGTAAACTCAGACAGCTGGTAGGTAAGGTTTTATGGTTTAAAAAAAAAAAAAAAAAAAAAAAAAAAGCAAGACTAAGAGGAAAAAACAACCAAAGAGTTTTTCAGAAGTCCTAAAAACAAACTATTCCTCTGCATAGAAAAAGATATAAAGTATGGCAACAGACCATGTTGTCTTAACTATGAGATCTTACATGATCTAAAAATCAAAAAGTAGTTGTATAAAAAGTGGAAACTCCGTCAAATTACAAAGGATAAATATAAACAAACTAGCCAGTTAGCCCATCAGAAAACGGGATTTTCAGGTCTCTCCTCCACGTCCTATTCCCTTTCTATCTCAGACTTGTCTCCTGAGCCTCCGGTCTGTTGCTCCGTCTCTCTCTCCCCTCCTCTTACTGCCTCTTCCTCTCTTTCTCTCAGCTCTCCTCCGTCTCCTGCCTCTCTCTCTGTCTCTCTCTTCTCCCTCTCCTGCATGGGGAGCGCAGAGCTGAGCGGCTGCCTATGAGCTCCAGCTGCCCCCCTGCACCATTTCCCTTCACCCCAGCACTGATCCTGCAGGCTCCCAGTTGTCATCCACCTCTCCCTCCCTCTCGTTCCCCCACCCTGCCCCCGGCCAGGGTCTGTTCACTGCCAGGGGCAGGGCTTGGCTGTGTACGTCACCTCCCACCGTGGCACTCGGCTGAGTTTTGCGCCGCTCAGCCAGGCCACCGTAGGGGAGCAAGCAGCCGTCTGGGCCCCACACTCCACATGCAGCACAGGGATCGCGGAGCCCAAACGGCCACTTGCTCCGCTTGCTCCCCCGCGGCGGCCCAGCGGAGCAGCGCAGAACTCAGCCGAGCACCACGGCGGGTAACACACAATGCTACAGTGTTACAGAGTCACAGACTTTGGGCTACTATATACAGTAAAACTCCAATTGTCCGGCATCCAGTGGTCTGGCACTCCCGATAGTCCAGCACCAACTGGAACCCGGAAGTGCTCCGTCAGCTGCTTCAAGAAGTTGTTAGTCAATTACACTACCGCCGGCTGGATCCACAGGTGACACGCTCTTTCCTCTACTGCCTCTGGCAGAGGCAGGTAAGGGTGAGGGGGGGCAGGGAACCGCGCGGCGAGGGCCGAACCCTGCGCTTTTGCAAGGAGGCAAAGCCTGCAAGCGGTGGGGGCAGAGAGGGGGCGAGAGGCAGGCAGCTACTTCAGGAAGTTGTTAGGAGGTAGTGTAATTGAGAACTATCCACAATGACTCCAAGATCTCTCTCTTGAGTAGTTGAAGCTAATTTAGTCCCCATGATATTGTATATATAGTTGGGATTATTTTTTCCAATGTGCATTACTTTACTTTTATCAACATTAACTTTCATTTGCCATTTTGATGCCCAATCACTTAGTTTGGTGAGATCTTTTTGAAGCTCGTCACAGTCTGCTTTGATCTTAACTACCTTGAGCAGTTTGGTATCATCTGCCAATTTTTCCACCGCGCTGTTTAC